ACAGTGAATTAGGAAGACCGTTGAAGAATTGATGCTTTTGAGTTATGGTGTTGGAGGAGAATATTGAAAGTGCCATGGGCTGCCAAAAGAACCAATAGATTCATTTTGGAAGAAGTGCAGCCAAAGTGCTCCTTGGAGGCCAAGATGGCCAAACTTTGTCTCTCATACTTCAGACATACTGTCAGGAGGGATCAGTCACTGGAGAAGGATAACATATTTGTTAAGGTGGGGGGTCAGAGAAAAAGAGGAAGACCCCCCAATGAGATGGATTGGCCAAGTGGCAGCATCGATGGACTCAAGCATGGCAACAGTGGTGAGGTTGGTCCAGGACTGGGCAGTGTTTCGTTCTGCTGTGCATAAGGTCACTATGGGTTGGTACCGACTCGATGGCACCCAACAACAACAACAACATAACAATAACAACAATGTCTAATGATACAGAGCATCCTTTAATTTTCCTTATAGGCATGGCAGTGGTCCAGTGGAGAGGCCAGAATTCTTAAGTAGTTGGTTAATTTTGACTATTTTTTTTGCCAGTTTTTCTTGTCACTTTTTAAGGAGTAAATTTTCAGTGATCCTTACGCCACCATTCTATTGATTTTAGTTTTATTTATTTTAACATGTCTTGGAAGAAGTACTGCCAGAATGCTCCTTAGAAGGGAGGATGGCCAGACTTTCTCTCTCATACTTCGGACATGTTATAAGGAGGGACCAGTCCCTGGAGAAGGAAGTCATGCTTGGTAAAGGACAGGATAAGTGAAAAAGAGAAAGACCCTCAATGAGATGAATTGATACAATCGCTGAAACAATGGGTTCAAAGGAGAGAATGATGCAGGACCGGGCAGTCGCTATGAGTTGAAACCAACTTATTCGCATCTAACAACCACAATCACATTTTATTTTTAACAATGGCTCTATTGAACAGCTGGCATGCAAAATTTCTCAAAGTTTAACAAGTGACTTTTATATGAGATGATTTGATCTAGCTGCAGTATACCTCTTGGCAGGTCCTTTGTGGATGCACCCATTTGATGCAATTCATCAAACTTTCACGTGCCTGCTGGGTGCCAGACTTCCACCAGTGCCTGCTCACACAGGACTCTGGATGCCTCCAGATGTCTGAGCATCCAGCCCTCGCCCAGAGCTTACTGGCAGGAAGACCCTGCCAGAAAGGGTGGTCCAGGAAGGATACGTTGGACAAGACTGAACACACGTGAGAAGGGCTGAAAGAACATTGAAGGAAATTGCTTCTCATTTTCGGGATCTAATACCAAACTGTGCCGGGGGCTATTTTCTTACTCTTGGGTGAAAGGAAACAAAGCAAAGAGGGTTTTTGTTTTTTATAAATCCTGTAACTGGAACTTTTGAAGAGAAGGAACTGGGCAGCTGCTGCACAACACTGTGAGCGATGAAGTGCAGTGGTGAAGTAGAGGTTTCCATTAGGATACCTCTGAGGAATGATTACCTTAGACCCTGTTCTTTGAGGTTACAAAAAAAAAAAAGCTTTCCAACTCATGGTCTTGCTCGGATAATAACAAAACCTGCTTTGGGATTGTCGGGTTACCTTAATTAAGACGAACAACTAGAAGGATAATGAGATAGGGCGTTTGTTGGGCCAGCAATACTGCAAGTAAACAGTCTCTTCCCGGTACATAGCAGAAGTATTCGCTGGCTTCCTCAAACTCAAAGTTCAGAGCTTTTTCATAGAAGGAGGAGCACAACAGGGTGATTGTATCTCTTTTCTAAACATATGCCTTTCTTCCTGTCCCCAGCTAGCTTCCAACAGAAAGCCACGGACGCGTTAACTCAGCTTTTCACAGTCCTGCCACATGCCCTCTACTTTGCCATATCCTTCAAACGTTCCTTGGGTCTTGTCGGTGGATCCAGTGCTGGGTTAGGACATGAAAAGCTGGCAGGAAGGAGAGACATTCAGAGAATTGGAGAGTGAGGGGAAGGCCACGTTTCCAGGTGGTTAAGCACCATCTGTAAAATTCAAATCAGTTCCTCTCACGCACACAAACTAGACCACAAGGGTTTCTCCTGAAAAACCTGGCACTGCCCCAACCCCCAGGTCTTTGACCCCTAAGGTACCTCCAGGAACTCATGAAGAGAAGTACAACTGGGCAAAGGTGGGAGTGGTGAGGTTGGGGGGTAAAGGTCTCCATTAGACACTTCTAAGGAATGCATACTTTAACCCCTGTTCTGTGAAGTGGAAAAAAAACAACAGCTTCTCATCATTTCCTCTAGTTCAGACTGCAGCCCATAGTCACCTCTTGGTGGGGGTTCTGTCTTTTGGTAGGGAGACAGCATCTGGGAACTGCACCTCCTTGGCCACTAGGCTCAGGCCCAGTCTCTGTTACTTTAGAAAGGAAAAAAGTTTTAAGTGCTTGTCTGCTAACCAAAAGGTTGGTGGTTCAAACCCACCCAGCAGCTCCACGGTAGAAAGACCTAGCAATCTGCTCTTACAAAGGTTACAGGCTAGGGAACCTTCTGGGGGCACTTCTAATCTGTTCTCTAGGGTAGCTCCGAGTTGGAATCCGTTCCACAGCACAATCACAATTCAGGGCCAGGCCCTATGCCAATCCCCACCGACCCCCAGCTGAATCAGACACAGTTCCTGCCCTCCGGGAGGTTACTATTACAGAACAAGGAAATAGGATAGCTGGGATTGCAGTCTCTACAGGGCCTGGGATGGGCACAAATGAGACACCAGTCATTTCTCCTGGGGGCCGGGGAGGGGCCTTCCTTGATGAGTTCATGTGCTCAGGTGAGTCTTAAGAAATGAAAGGAAAGGCAGTCTGGCAGGTGGACAAAAGAGGACTGGAAGGGCAGTCTTGACAGCCAGGGAGCTGAATCAAAGGGTGACTAGGCGAGAGGCATTTTGTTCTTGTGGAATTTAAATAAAAAGCCCAAAGGTGAGAGGACATGCAGGTCAACATAAGCAGAAAAACCCCTGACAAAAAAGGCAAAGGACAAAACAGTCACTGTTTTGCATGTTATAAAATACCTGGCAAAAATTCAGATAGATGAGTGATTTCTATTGTCTTCTCGGTACTTTTCTGCATTTTTATATTGAAAAGAATTGTCGGTATTACCTGCTGCCCACGCATTTCTCCGTCTGCAGGGGGCGCCCCGGGGACCATCCCTCCCTCTGCCAGGGAAATGGGCGGGTTTTCCCGCGCCTCTGTGGAACTGACGATTGGCTGGCGGCGCAGTCTCTCACGTTGTCCCGCCTCCGTCCTACGTCACATGACGCAGCCCATCATGGCGGCGGGGACGCGGCTGCCGGGGCCCGCGGCTCCGCAGGTCTGCTGCCGTTGCTGCTATTGAGGCGGCGGCGGCGGGGCAGGCGGACGGGCGGGCGGGAAGGATGGTGTTTCTGCGGCCGGAGCGGCGGGTGCAGACCAGAAGCCGGGCTAAGGTTGGGTCGAAACAGCGCGAGCTCAGGAGCAGCAGGCGCGGGTGCCGTTGAGGCAGGACCGATTGACTTACTGTCGGGCCGACTGACGGACGGACAGACGGAAGATCCGAGAGCCAGCCCCGGGGCCACGCAGCGAGCGAGATGCCGGGGTCGCCGGCATTGCCGCTATTGCTGCTACTGTCCCTGGTCGCCGGCAGAGCTGGGGCCGCGCCACTTCCGCAAACAGGTGCAGGTGAGCGGGCCTGCTGCGGGGCCAGAGCTGCGGGCCGCGGTGACCCGGGCGGTGGAGAGCGGGATGGCCTGGGCGCCGAGAATCCGAGGGCCTAGCGGGCACGGGAGGCCGGGGAAGCGAACGCTGAGGAACGTTTCTGCCGCAAGGGCGTGGGATCGGGGGCGGACTGCCTCTGGAGGGCCGAAGCGGGGGCGACGCTAGGCGTTGCGGTGCGATCGGGGCCAGGGAGGGCGGCAAGCGGGGTGGCACGACCGCCTCTGGTGGAGGAGGCTGCGGTACCGGCGCTGGACCTGTTGCCTGAAGGTGCTCAGCTTCCATCGCCCTCCCTATCCAGATGCCACCTGCCTCCAGTGCGTTTCCCACATCTAATCAATAAAAGAACCATTTCTTCTAAGTAATTGTACTTAGATGCAAAAGACTGGGAGAACCGTGGAGTTTCTCTCCGTTCCCCGCAACTTGTTCCGAAGTTGTAAATTGATTTTAGACGCTCTGCTTTTCATTCGAAATGAATCTCTGGGGAGAAGGAGGAAATGAGTCGACTATAAATATTTCTATTTTAAGAAGCCAGTGATTTGAGTGGCAGCCTTTGAATAACTGTTGACATACTGGCCTAAGGATGATTTAAGTATCTATTTTAGCTACTGTGTCCATGTGTGATCTCCCCTCCCCCACATTTTTCTCCACCTCAATTTTATGTGGGGTTCATTTTCCTCAATAAAACTTGAACCCTGGAAAGGGGTGATTAAGCCGATTTGCCAAAAATTAGAATCGTTGACCACCATCATCTGCTGCTTCTTTTTGAAATTAGAATAGACAGAAACTTTATAGACTCATAATTTTTTAGTTGGAAGAGACCTTAAGGAGTCGTCTATTGTCTTCCTTTATCAGTTGGAGATACTTTGAGGCCCTGTGAGCCAGATGTACTACCCAAGGTGACACAGCTAAATTGTAGCTAGAGCCACAACTAAAACTTCTTAAATGCCGTTTTGTCGGTTCTGACTCATAATGACCCTGTGTAGGGTTTCTGATGAGTGGCTGGTGAGTTTGAACCTCTGACCTTGCCATTCAAACTGATCTTGTGGTCCAGTACTTATCCTACAGTGCCATACCAAGACTCCAACTAAAACTTAGATCTTTACATTTCCCTAGTTGTGTGGTTTTTCTCTTTGTCACTTCAAGTCTTGTAACTGTTTATGAATACGCTTAAGGTCAAGAGTTGTTTTAGAATGATTTGAATTGGCTACAGAATATATTATTTTCAGTAAAGATGTGTTTTTAAACAAATGACAGATACAATGAAAGCTCGAATAACTACTGTTGCCCCAAACTAGTCTAGGTATGTCATTGAGTGCCCTTTGGTTGAGTGGTAAATGTTATCATTGTACCATGTACTGTAACTCTCAACTGCTGCCACTGCCTTAGATCAAATATTTGTGAAGTGAATTGTTTTCAGATCTGATAGATAAGACCAGTGAATGTGGTTAGAAGGCAACCCAGGCTAAGAGTCACAGAAAGCATCTGGGACAGTATGAAGGATGATGGTATGGAAAGATACAGGAATTGAAGATAGCACTAAAGTAGAATAGTAGTACATGTGCCGTTGAGTCGGTTCTGGCCCATAGTGGTCCTATATAGGATTTCCGAGGAGTGGCTGGTGAGTTTGAACTGCTGACCTTGCAGTGCTTATCCTATAACATCACACCAGGACTCTAGAATAGTACATAAAGGGTATTTAAGTGAAGAGGACTCAAGAAGTTGCCAGATGACTGAGTGAAATTGAACTTGTATCTGTTCTGGAAAATAGATTTCTGTGGTGGGAATCTGTGGAATTGTAGAATAAACACTGGACTTCTAATCATACGGTCGGTGGTTCAAACCCACCAGCTGCTCTTTGGAAACCTTATGCAGGGTTGCTGTGAATTGGAACTGACTCCACAGCACTTAATGATTGGCTTACGTGTTATTTATGCCATTCTTTTGCTATCTTATGAAGACATGTTATAACAAACTAAGTTCTGCTGGAGTGCTGTAAAGGAATCAGAAAAAGTAAGCCATAGATAGAAATATTGCGTCTTGGCATAGATAAAGCACAGAGAAATAGTTGGTAATTCATAGCGATGTTGCTACCCATTCTGATGCTTGGAGGGATATGGGTGAACATACAACATGTGAGTGACAGATGCCGGTACCAGTTACTGTCAAGTTGATTCCTGCTCATAGTAGTCCCATGTGTGCCAGGGGCAGAATTGTGATCCATAATGTTTCAGCAGCTGAAGGCCTTTCTTCCAGAGTACCTCTGGGTGGATATGAGCCTTCGGCCTTTTGGTTAGCAGTTGAACACATTCATGATTGGCACCATCCAGGGATGCTGCAGTGATAGGTAGCCAGGGGAGAAGGGACACGGTCAACATAGATTTGGGGATTTGCCTTTCCATCCATTTTTGTTAAGTGCTGGCAAGTCGGTTCCGATACGTAGCGACCCTTTATAGGGTTTCCAAGGAGCAGTTGGTGAGCTTGGACCACCGAACTTGTGGTTCCAACCGATTTTGCAGTCCAGCGCATTAACCCACAGCGCCACATCAGGACTCCTTTCCATCCATAAGCAATGATTAATTCTGGTAACTGGAGAGGGATTCTTGATCATGAAGAATAAAAAATCTTGATAGGTGAGCTCTCGTTTGATTATCTAGAGGGCTGTACTCCACTTTTAAATAAGAGTAGCTCTGGTAGCGTAGTGGTTACGAATTAGGCTGCGAACCTTAAGGACAGCAGTTCGAAACTACCAGCTGTTCCACGGGAGAAAGATGAGGCTTTCTGCTCCCGTAAAGATTTACAGCCTTGGAAACCCTGTATAGGGTCGCTATGGGTCGGAACCGACTCAAAGGCACTTAACAACAACAACAACAAGCCATTTTCAAGTAAGGAAACCCATTGCTTATCTTTGTCTTTTTGCCTCTTTCCTCTTATTCTATTTATGTCAAGTTCAGACTGGTTTTAATGGTGCCTTGGAGAAAGCCTAGTGATATTATCCATAATTTGGAAAAACAAACCAAACTTCTACCATTTGCCAGCCCCTTTATGTGGGGAGAAGAGACAGCAGTTAACTAACATTCAAATATGACCTTGAAGTTGAATTATGTAAGTTATCTTCATTATGCAAAAACGCTTCTGGGTTGAGAGTTTGAAAAAGGTATTTATGCATTCAGTCATCAAAAAGTTATGTGAAAAAACAAAACAAAAAGAGTTATGTGAACTTGTGAATACAGTTGCCCATCAGGCATGCAGTTTCTGGGGTGCCCAGGCTGGGAGCCTCTTTTCCTGAGAATCTGGATTTCTGCAATGACTGTTTTTGTTATTTTTTATTTTTTTTCCTTCTTAAAAAAAGTTTTTATTGTGAATTGAGTGATAGTTTACGTGGGATAACATCAACTTTACACTCATCCCATCGTATTTTGTTTCATTACAATGATTACATGCATCATCATTCAACAGTATTTGCTTTTATTCCCTCGTGTTTTTTTGGATGGACACCAAAACACTCAGGAATATATAATCGTTCAAACACCCAAAGGGTATACCCTGCAAGTCTGGCCCTTAGCCACTAGCACATAGCCCCTCTCCCTCCGTGAGTCTAGAGTCCCCAGCCACTCCATTTCTCCATGTAATCATCTCTGCCTCCATCTCTGGCGTCACTGTTTCTCTGTTTAAGGTCCCACACTCTGCTCCCGCTCTTCTCCCTTGATGGTCTCAGGGTCCTCCATTCTTGGACTGTGCTATCAACCTTTACAGTTGCAACAATCACAATCAGTTGCAATAACAATTACTCACTATTGAACCATAAGAGTCTTATCCCCATCTCCTTTTAGACAAGGAAACTCCCTTCTGTTGTTCTGTGGCATTTTAGGTCACAGAGCACTGAGGCAGCTTGTAGCAGTTACAGACGAAGGACCTAACCAAAGTGTATGAAGCCAGTGGGACTCAGTTGCTGATGAAGCGCCAGCTTGTGGGGCTGGGGCTCTCCTTTTAGTTGGAACAAAACTCCATCTAAAAGGAGTGTATTTCTAAAGTAAAAGAAGTACTTTCTTAAAGTGTGAACTACTGCGTTTGTTTGAACAGCTAATGAGAAGTAAAAATTACTGGCAACAGGCTCTCCAGACAAATTATTTGAGGATTCGTGGCTACTGGGCTTGAGGTTTGAGTGAAGTTATGATGGCTGCAGTTGTTTTCAGTTAGTGCTATTGTTTTGGTTCACTAAGTGTGTTCATTTCTACAGTAGCTGGAGGTTTGTCCACCACTTTTGTGGCTGATCAGCATGGAAGTTACCAAGTCCTTACAATTTTGCTGGTATCAGTGTGCTGACTCTTCATGCAGTTCTCTTGAAATTTAGAGAGTCCTCGGCCCTCTACGTCCCCTGTGGACTGTGTCAGCAAGATAACCATGTGGTTTATCAAAATAATGATAAAAAGACATTGTAATATAAGTAAAAGGAGTCCTGGCCCTACCATGATTAAGCACACTCCATTGCTAACCAAAAGGTTGGCAGTTCAAACCCAGCCAGCTACTTACACTCTGTAAGAGAAAGACCTGGCGATCTGCTTCCTTAAAGATTACAACTAAGAATACCTTCTGGGGCGATTCTACGCCTTCATGTAGGTGTGCTGTGAGTTGAAACTGGTTCATGCTGGTTCTCCCCCCTGTTGATCATTGCATTTCCCACCCCAGATATATGAATGAATCAGAATCTACATTTGAAGGAGATCTCCAGGTGATTCTTACATTGTTGTTAGTGCTGTCAAGTAGGGTTGGACTCATTGGGACACTGTATAAGGTTTCCAAGAGCAGCAGCTGGGTTTGAACTGCAGCCGACCTTATGGTTCGCAGTCCAGTGCTGATTCTACAGAACCACACAAGGACTTCATATATATATATATATATATGAGAGAGAGAGACTTCAAAAAGTTTGTGGGGAAAAAAAATCCATGATTGTTTAATTCCATCTT